TTTTGACTTTAGTATATTTAGTTATTATTTAGACTTTGGTATCTTTGGTAAATTTTGCTGATGACACGAATGCAATTATATTTTGTAAGGATAGCTGTCAGTTAAATTATTATGTAAACAACACACTGGCTGCTTTTGAAAACTGGTTTAGAGCTAATGCTTGCAAGTAAATCCCTCCAAAACTAACATTCTACTATTTAAAACCACTTCGCGTAACAGAGAAACCTTGGATGTTCGGTTAAGTGGCAAACTAATAGAAATTAAAGTAGAAGTCATTGACTTACAAATAAAAGGACGACGGGTCTAATACAAAAACCACGACAAAAATGTCCCAAATTAACCTATTTAAACGTAGTGACATGTAAAGGAATATGAAAAAGCTAAAACGTTGAATTTAAATTGTAATGTCATCGCAGTACTGTCTAATTTTGCTTGCTTCGCTGTCAGTCGAACAAACGAAGACTAGAGCGTAAATGACGCTCTTTAAACGATTTTAACGCCCTATAAGTTCGGACACTTTTTAGCGCGGACCCGACGTCCATATAATTGTAAATCAATGGTAGAAGTTAAGTTTTTTTGGCATTCATATTGACCATTTTATTAATTGGAAATATGAGCTTACGGTTATAGAAAACTCAATCAGTTCTGTCTGTTTTGCCCTACGAAGTTTAAGTTACATGCTTGCTATAAAATATTTAAAATCGGTGTACCATGCTTTGATTGAATCGAAATTTCGTTATAGCATTGCGCTATGGGGAAACAGTTTCCAATACAATATAGAGTGTGCTTTCATATTGCAAAAAAGGACCATTCGCACTATGGGACGGATTCCTCCATGGAAATCATGCCAACAACATTTCAAAGATTTGGGTATACTCACTGTACCAAGTCTATAACATCATGGTATTGCTGACAGAACTTTTATAGCCGAGAAGAAACTTTAAGACAAATGAAGATCAAATTCAGAGAGAGGACACTAGGACTAACAATTTAAAAAATTGATTGAGACTAAATTAAATATTGTGACGCACTGCCCCTAATACCAGGCCGTGAAATTATTTAATAAATTACCTGTAGAATTTAAGATTATTACTGACATATAGTAGATAGTACAAGTGCATAAAACGCGTCATTGTACCCGAGACGAGTATATCCTATAGATACTTAAGTCGAGAGTAAAATGGATTTTATGGACGAGTTATACACTCTGTTTTTCACTTCGATTGCGAGGAAATTAAACAGCGATATTACAAATAAACGATTATTTAATCGAAATCGAATGTACAACAATTTTTATGCACTAGGCATTGACTTACAAATAAATGGACGACGAGTCTAATACAAAAACCAGGAAAAAAATGTCCCAAGTCAACCTATTTAAACGTGATACTACGTGATACGTGACATGTCAAGGAATATGAAAAAGCTAAAACGTTAAATTTAAATTGTAATGTCATCGCAGTGCTGTCTAATTTTGCTTGCTTCGCTGTCAGTCGAACAAACGAAGACTACAGCGTGAACGACGCTCTGTATACGATTTTAACGCCCTATAAGTTCGGACACTTTTTAGCGCGGACCCGACGTCCATATAATTGTAAGTCAATGGCACTAGGGCATAAAATCCTATTTTAATTGATTGTGTTAAATTGTTCTTTTTGACTCATAATAAATTTATATATTTGTGTGATGGCTCTGACAGTTTATTATTATTAATTCATTTTTTTATTTCTAATAATTCATTAGACTGTGTATTTCAATAAACTTGCATGATTAAATTTAAATCCATGACATTTACAATTGAACTGTATTGCACAAAATGATCGGGTAATGAGTCACTTACTGGCAATGAAACATGACAGCTAAAGTTTAAAATAGATTGTGTAATAATGAGCAAGCAAAACAAAAATACTATTTTTATGATACTATTTGACGGTACGAACCAGTCATGCGCTTAGTGGCAGCGATTTGTGTGTCCATAGCAGTTGGAGACTACAACTACGCAGTCAGCTAACCAATGATAACAATGTTAATCAGATAACATAGTGGGTACGTGTAAAGTACACGATTAGAGAACCGGTAATATTGTATTATAGTGTACTGCTATATTCCGACTTGTTTGTACGGTCATTTTGATTTTGTAAGAAAGCTTGTTTTTGTAATTGGAATAAGTGTAATAAGTTTGACAATGTATGCAAGTAAGTATCTTTTTATTAAAGTATCTATAGAAAAGGGTGTATCATAAGGATTTTTTAAAATTTAACATTAATGCACACTAAAATTACAACTAGGGAGGTACATAATATTTCTTAATGCGAATTGCAACAGTTAATTATTGGCAAATACCGCATTCTATAATTGTTAAGTAAATTAAGATTAATTATTTAACAGCACGAACACAAGAAATAGATTTCTCACAAATGGCGCTACGACAAAAACAGTAGTTAAAAAAAAAACAAAGATCTGCAACAAGCATCATTCCATCAGAGATGACCTGATGATCTAAAAGCAGAGAAATAGTTTAGTGTTAACGAGGTAGAAAATATGAATAAAATTATTGTTCTCGGATTACAATCTTGATATTGTGATAAATTATTATGCCTAGTTTATTGTGAGATTCAGATTATTAGTATTGTCATCTAATTTATTATACGTGAACTAAAATCTAATATATATTCTGCATTCGGGACACGCCACTGTCGTCAGGTTTTAGGTATTTTGTTTTTTTTCCATTAGGTCCGAAAAGTTTATTGGATACACTCTTTTAAATAAGTGGAATGTGTGCTTAGACCATTGACTTACAATTATAAAAAGTGTCCGAACTTATAGGGCGTTAAAATCGTATACAGAGCGTCATTCACGCTTTAGTCTTCGTTTGTTCGACTGACAGCGAAGCAACCAAAATTAGACAGTACTGCGATGACATTACAATTTAAATTCAACGTTTTAGCTTTTTCATATTCCTTTACATGTCACTACGTTTAAATAGGTTGGCTGGGGACATTTTTTTCGTGGTTTTTGTATTAGACCCCTCGTCCATTTATTTGTAAGTCAATGGCTTAGACACAAAAAATTGCGACTTTGAAGAAATGACCTTTAAAACTTATTTGGTAATAATAATATTTTATTATACAGCCTTTAACTTGCCAACTTTCTTTTTCAAGAATGCAGTCTTTGTATGATACCTGATGCCTACAGGACGGCAACTAAAAAGTCTCAGGTTTCTTACCACGGTATGACTTCTTTTTATTTTCCCGATATTTCGGAACGGTTGCACGCTCCATGGTCACGGGTTGACTGAAGAAACCTGATACTAGTGATAATCATTTAGTGAATAACCACGAAAGTCTTAAAATCTATATAACTAAAAAGTCGTTAAAAGTTGCTACCGTGACTGGAATAGAGTCAAATTTGCTGAATGCTTTTAGTAAATGCGTGTTATAATTTATTAATAATTTGGTTTGAAATTTAACAAACCGGATTTGAATGTGGACAGCATTAGTGAAACATAATGTAATCTCAAATCTAATCTCATGAAATCATACGTCGCGTCATTATCAGTAGGTACACCAGCTGCATTAGGTGGAAAATAGGGATGCAGTTTACGATTCGATTGTTATGAAGATCGATTCAAATGTATACGATCTAGCGATTTTTTGTATCGATTCATTTCAACACCATTTTTAAGTAAATCGATTCAACATTGAGGGGAATCGAATCGCCTCAATGTTGAATCAATTAAATAAAGGAATCTCTTTCTGAACCGCTATTCTAATTTGGCCTGGAAGGAAAGCAGTTTGGCAACATTTATGTACACACGCCAGCACATCAAGCTACACTTTGACGTATCTTGTTTCGTTGCACATATATGTGCAATCCGTACTATGTGCGTATAATATTTGGCGATTTTCGCTATTTCTGTGCCATCTGAACGTCTTTTCCCACTGGCTAGTATCATTTTAAATGAAAGTCTAAGTAACCGTTTGAAACCAAAAAGGCTGTCAAAATTTTTTTTTATCGCAATTAATTTTCAAACTATTTTGATGAGGTCGATTCAAGGGAATAAAAGCAATAAAACATGGCAAATAGATGTAATATTATTATATATTATTATATTCGCTTATATTCGCAGTTCTCAACCTAATTACCGTACCCGTTGTGTATTGTTTGTCTCGCTTATTATAACCCTATAACATTGAAATATAAATAACTGTAGAGAAATTAGTTTTCGAGTTATTAAGACAAATATTTTATGGAAACGGTAATTAGATCTAATTACCGTAGCTATGGATACGGTTCAAACATTTTTAAGAAGTTTATAGAATTTAAGGGCCGTTTTTTTTTATATTTTATTATTCTTAACTCTTTTTACGTTTTCATTAATGTATTCTTCTGCTAAAGGCGTAAAAGCTATTTGATCATACCTGATGGCATTGTATTTAATTTTCGTTATGTTAATCCACTTGACATCATCAGGGTTTTTTTTACAGTTGCGCCACTGTAATAAACTGCCAAATTTGAACGCTCCGCGTATTTTAGTTGTTTTAAATTGTTTAAACATTCGAAAGTTTATTAAACCTGAAATAATATTTAAATCTGTGACAAAATTATCCAGTGTTTGTGAAATACGTGAAAAAAATCAACTAACAATGGCTCCACCATCGAAAGCAGCCCTTGACAGGTTAGCGGAAGTTATTTCAAATTTGGAAATAAAAGTCAATGATTTGAATATCAAACTAGATCTATGCTATGACACTATTAAAACTCAAAACACATAGATACATAGCAAAACAAGATAAAAAATTATCAAAATTATCATTGACTTACAAATAAATGGACGACGGGTCTAATACAAAAACCACGAAAAAAATGTCCCAAGTCAACCTATTCGAAATTTAAATTGTAATGTCATCGCAGTATCGCGCTGTCAGTCGAACAAATGAAGACTAAAGCGGAGTTTGGCGCTCTGTATACGATTTTAGCGCCTTACAAGTGCGGACTCTTTTTAGCGCGGACCCGACGTTCATATAATTGTAAGTCAATGAAAATTATTGACATAAATTGACAGTTTGAAAATCTCAACTGACACGACTACCAACAGACGCAAAAACAAGCGTAAAATCAAGTCAATTACCTCACATGACTGTAGCACAATACAGCAGCAACACACTTCCACTATCACAAACATCATGTCCAGTATTCCACAGAGACTTAGTGTTCCACAGACCCTAGATGATTCCGGCCCTCACGGAATTACTATAATTCAGCAAACGCCTGATAAAACCAATCACAACCACTCCACTGCAAACCACAAGTCACATAATATATCAACTCCACATACATCAACCCCTGACACCAGAGAGGTTCATCTTATTACACCACTAGACCTCTCAACAAAAAGACAATTGAACCGGTGTTAGGAGGCTTGCGAGCGGCACCACCACGCATTGGTATGCTACACTTATTCAATTTTAGTGTAGACACCACTTCCGAAGATATAAAGCAGCATCTACAATCTCGGCTGCGAATTAGTGGAGTATGCTGTGAGCGGCTGCCGACACGCGGAGAGTACGCGTCCTTTAAATTAGAGGTGCCAGCCAACAAAGTCCAATCTATACGAGATCCTGGATTATGGCCCGCCGGAGTATCAATTAGAAAGTTCAATACGGTCACTCCAAAAAACTTAAGAAAAACACACGCGCGGCACGATCAGGGATAACCTCAAAACCGAGACACAAATCGAACGTAACGATCTTATACCAAAATGTACGTTCTATTACTGGTAAAACGGGACTATTGAACATAATTTTAAACACACACGAACCTGACATTCTTGTATGTTCTGAAACCTGGTGCAAAAACAATGAAATACTACGCGTGAAGTTATCAGGGTACGAGCTCGCAAATTACTACTGTCGCCCGCGCATCAACCACGGCGGTGTAGCTATGTTTACAAAGCCAGGAATCTTATTTAAACAAAGAACGGACCCACAGAGTATTGGTGTTGGATATCATTGTGAATTTTGTGTAATTGAACTGTATTCGGAAAATATTATTATTGTGGGTATTTATAAAACTGGAAACGGAGATTTTAAACAATTTCTATATTCAATAGAAAAATTATTGTCAACAATATTTGACGAAAATAAAAGGTTAATTTTGGTCGGCGACATAAACGTATTTAACCGACAACTCGGACAGGCGATGCCTAGACGACCTATTGAGTTGTTATAACACAAAAAATATTGTCGATTTTCCTACACGCGAATGTGACACTTGTAGCACTTCTTTGGACTGTGGGATAGCTTCGAGCGATGACTGTAATTACATAACCGTTTCTCCATTAGATACGCCGATAAGCGACCACAACGCACAGCTATTTGTATTACCTGTTACGCAACACAAAAATGTAAACAAATTTATACATCGACGTATCTTTGCAGAGGAGTCTATTAATTTATTTTATATGGACATTTATAATTATGATTGGAGTTTCATTCATGTGACTGATATCAATATTAATGAAAAATTTAGTTCATTGATAAGAATATTAACTTATTATATTAATATTCATGTTCCTATTAAAAAAATATCTTTAAAGAGGAATACTATTCCATGGGTGAGTGAAGAACTTAACCACCACATTGCAATGTATAATAATTTCTGCTCAATTAAACACCAGTTTCCACACGATAATGTTTTAAATAAATGTCTCCAACATCATTCAAATTTAATAAAATCTATGAGTTTGCGTGATCGTCGTGTATTTAATGATAATAAGATGATGTCTACTAAAATCTCGAGTAAGGTAATGTGGCAGATTGTGAACGATGAGGTTTCAACTAGGAATCACCAACAAAACGTTCGACTGACTCACAAGGGAGACATTGTGCCTGTAGACATGATACCTGACTACTTCAATGATTATTTTCTTACTTCAAAATTACATCTACACAATAATAAAGAAAAATCAATGTCATTTTTAAGAAAATGCGTGGGTGAATGCGATGTTCCTCAGTACAGCCTTCCAACTGTCACTCGTGACTCGTTGGAGGGGGTAGTGAGGGGTATGTGGCATACGTCAAAAACGCTGGACATATATGATATATCTATAAATATATTAATGTCTGTGTGGCCAGTGATTGGAGACATACTCGTTATTTTAATAAATGAAATGTTTACAGAAGGTATATATCCT